CTAACTTGATCGCTTGGAATGCTCGCAAGCAGGCTACGGTGTCTCGCAGCAGTACGGAAGCCGAGTACAAAGCAGTTGCTGATGTGACGGCTGAGATAATTTGGGTTCAGTCTTTGTTGAGAGAGTTGAGAGTCCCTTCAGCTCATCCTCTAGTACTTTGGTGTGATAACGTTGGTGCTACATACTTGTCATCTAATCCGGTGTTTCATGCTCGGACGAAACACATCGAGGTTGACTATCACTTTGTTCGAGAGCGTGTTGCACAGAAGCTACTTAGCATCAAGTTCATCTCATCAAAGGATCAACTTGCTGACATCTTCACGAAGCCTCTTCCACTAGCACAGTTTGTAGGCTGCAGGCACAATCTTAACTTAGTTTGTACTTCAGGCCACAGTTAAGATTAAGGGAGGGTGTTAGACTGTATATGTATACGTAGACTTGTTCATACATAGACTTGTGTATACACCTTGTACTTGTACCCTTTGATATTTATATATACTGAGATAGCCGCACCCTCCTTAGGGTGTCGAGTAGTTGCCCAATATTCTCGTTTAACATATATAAAACGGGGCGAAAGCCTTTTTCGGTAAACCGTGGCATCTTCATCTTTCCGTATATATATAGGGAAAAGACATGGCCAAATTTCAACACCATTGCAACACAGACGTCTTTCTCTCCTCTCCCTCCATCCCCAGAGAAGAAAAGGAACTTCAGGCTCCCACTACAGCCATGGCATCCCACCTCAGATCTTCAAGTGCGCCTTCAAGCCCCTGCGCGGGCGAAACCAATGTCGAAAGACAACTTCAGAGCCTAAACACCTCCGTCTCCTCACCCTCTTCGACCATCGAGACAATGCTCGACGGGCTAAGGAGGCTTGGAGATATTTACGACTGCATTGACGAGCTCACAAGCTTACCCAGCAGCCAAGCTCTCATCTACAAGCCGCAGCAGAGGATTGTTGTGGAGCAAGAGCTCGAGCACTCCCTGGTGGTGTTGCTCGACCTCTGCGACGCGGTGCAAGTGAGCTTCTCCAAGCTCAAGGCAAGCGTACAGGACATGCAGTTGGTTACCAAAGAGAAGAGATGATGCGGCTGCTCTTCAGGCCAAGATCCAGTCTTGGTTCCGCCTGGCCAAGAAAGCGCAAAAGCAGTTCAAGAAGATGAGCAGAAAGTCTTCTCCGGCTGATGTCGAGAGCTGCAGAGTGGTCAGTCTGTTGGCTGACGCTAGGGACGTCGCTGTAACAATGCTTGAATCCTCTTTGGAACTCCTGTCGAAGCAAATTGCCGTGCCGAATTCCAGCAGGTGGTCTCTTGTGTCCAAGGCGTCCCAGAAGAAAAGTGTGGCGTGCAAGGAGGAGCAATTGCAGGTGCTGGAGTTGGACATTGTTGATCTTGAGGACAGAGTCGAGTCTTTGTTCAGGAGATTGATCCAAAGCAGAGTTTCTCTTCTGAATACTCTGAGCTTGTAGAGGAGATCATATACTGACTCTGATCCCCTGTGATCGGTATCCGCCTTTTGGAGGGCTTGCTGATCATCATCACAATTTTGTAATGTGTATACATGGGAGGAATTTGTACATAAACATACTCCATTGAGAAACAAAAACACGGCTTTTTGTCCATTTCCTCGTGTCGACAAGATTGTGTATTCATGGTTTGATACAATGACCTAAGTTTGGGGCGGATCATTCGAACGATTCTTCTTTGAGAGAACCAATATGATTTACTTACAAGATGATTATCATTATTGTTTACTATAGACGTAATAGGATCGATTGGTCAAGCTGATCTTTAAAATGATTAACTTTGAGATGGCCATCTTATTCAGATGCCATTTCTCATGCCACCAGAAACAAGCAAAAGATCCTAAGTGTCGGGATTATAAATATGGGGTAGGCCCAAGTATACGATGGCCCTCCAGAAGGCCATAGCCATCAAAGATACGGCCCAGAAAGACATGGGCCGAAGGACATCACCTTCGGCCGATAGGATTCGGAGCCCTAGTAGATATCAAGGACCAAAAGGATGACTCGTAATCTGGCTAAGTCCCTATATTCGGATTCTACACCCCCTGATGGACAAGAACCTAGCAGTCGGTCATGAAGATGACCGGAGCAGTCGGCTAGACCTACAGTCGGCGACTACCTATGATACCCTATCAACCACGATGTCTTAATGATAGCAGTTACCCAACGGTGGAATAATCTAGTTAAATACGGCAGTTACTAGCAGTAATAGCCAGGAAATAATCGGATACACCTGAAGCCATGAATAGCATTAATATCAGCCTATTATATACCCCCTCCTGGCACACTCTATATAAACCGGGAGGGGAGCACCGGGCTGAGGGTTGAGCATTCACATCTTGTGCCTTACGCCAAGAGCTAAGAGCACTACAAGAGTAGGGTATTACCACCACCAAAGAGGGCTCGAACATGTATAAACCCTTGCGCATACACTCATCTACACCGCTCGGCAGATACGATTGCCTCTACATTCATACCCCCATAATACTGTCAGGATTATATCCACGACACTGAGCAACAGATCTTGCTATCATAGCCAAAACATGCCAGCTCAACGTCGAAGAGGTTGAGTGTGTAAGCTGCATGAGTTGAGCATAAAAAAATACCAACTGAATTAACAGCTGTACAAAAACTAGATAGTAACACCTTGTCACCAATACGACTTGGCTACCAATCCACTATAATATTCTCTAAGCATGCAACTATGTAAAGATCCGCTGGTAGAGTGAACTAACCTGCTGGCTTTTGTAGGCAATTGTTGGAACATGATAATTCATTGGGAGGATAATTAGTGCACTCAGAAAAATTGAGCTACGCATGAGTGATCAAATTTGTAGGTTGTTGCTTCCAGTACATGGAATTAGCAAACTCCATTAAAATAGTTTAGAGCATGCAACAGAACGAGCTGTCATGCTGATTCTTGCTGCCAAAATCGGAACATAGCATTGTGATTCAGTAGTGGAAAATCAGACAGCACATGGATCATCTCAAGATTGCAATAGATGTGAAATGCTTGCAAGCGCGGCAGGCAGGCGAAACATGTCAGCGATGCCGCGCAAGAGGTGATCAGAAACCAGATAAACACGACGTAGCGGTGGAGCCTGGAGAGGTGAAGTCAACTGTTCTTCGACTACCAAAGGCACAGCTCGCCAATCTGGACCAACACACCTGTGCATATGAGTTTGCCCCCAATAATCAAGAAGCTTGGTTGGGAGACATAGGAAAAGCAGCATCCTGTAATGGAGATGGGTGGTATTTGTCACGGCAGCACGACACAGCGTTATCATTGAGATTCTTGCTGTCTAGAGGGTCATGCCAGGGCTTCTGCTTCTTTCTGTACATACCTGTATATATAGGGACAAGCCCATAGGCAGAACTCAACACCATCGCAGAGCAGCTTCTCTCATCTTCTATCTCCAGAGAGCAAACGAAAAAACTTCAGCTTCCAACACAATCATGGCACCCCACCTCAGGTCCACGAGTGTGCCTTCCAGCCCTCGATCCGGCGAAACCGATGTCGATCAACAGCTGCATAGCCTAAACACAGCCACCGTCTCTCCCTTATCAACAATTGGGACAGTGTGTGTTGGGCTAAGGAGGCTTGGAGACATCTATGACTGCATCGATGAGCTCACATGCTTGCCTAGCAGCCAAATTCTCCTCTGCAAAACGCAGCAAAGGATTTCTGTGGAGCAAGAGCTCGAGCGCTCCCTTATCTTGCTTGACCTCTGCAATGTCGTGCAAGTCAGCTTTTCCGAGCTCAAGGCAAGCGTCCAAGACATGCAGTTGGTTATCAAGAGAGGAGAAGATGCAGCTCTTCAGGTCAAGATTCAGTCTTGGTTTCACCAGATTAAGAAAGTGCAAAAAACGCTCAAGAAGAACACCAAGAAGTCTTCTTCGGCTGATCTGGAGAGCTGCAGAGTGGTCAGGTTGTTGACTGAAGCTAGAGAAGCCGCTGTCACAATGATTGGATCCTCAATGGAACTCCTGTCGAAGCAAATTGCACCACCGAATTCTAACAAGTGGGCTCTTGTGTCAAAGGCATTCCAGAAGAAAAGAGTTAATTGCGAAGAGGAGCAACTGCAGGTGCTGGAGTTGGACATCGTTGATCTTGAGAGTGGAGTTGAGACTTTGTTCAGGAGATTGATTCAGAGCAGAGTCTCTCTTCTAAATATTCTCAGTTTGTAGACTAGAGAGTATGTACCAACTCTGATCCCCTGTGATTGGCGTCCGCCTTTTAGAGGATTTGCTGATCACTAGAACAATTTTGCAACATGTGTACATGAAACACACTGTACATAAATATACTCAATTGAGGAACAGACACGGTTATTTATCAAATTCATATTTTATATTACAATTGCTTAAGTTTTGGATGGTTCACTCAAAAGATTCTATCCTGGGAAGAAAAGACCAAGTTACTTGGAAGATGCTTGTCATTATTGACTATTATAGTCTATAGAAGTGTTTTTCAGAAAACAGTTCAAGTGCAACTTAGTTGTTTGGTTTTCAAATAGTCATGTTGCATGTTTAAGAATGTTGTTGATACACTGATACACTCCTTGTGCAGTGGTTCTAAACCTATATAGAAATATGCCAGCTCCAGAACACAAAGTATAAACTTGTACAACTCATAAACTAATGTAAGATCGTTTAGATCACTAAACTAGTGATCTAAATGATCTTATATTAGTTTACAGAGGGAGTAATTAGCACACAGCTGGTTCTAACAGAAACATTATCTGTGTCAATAATTACCAGGCTACACCACATGTATCACAAAGGAAAATGTCCAATTTAAAACCCCAGAGCCAATAAGTTACACTTTCAACTGGAGTCTCGCTGCAATAATCGGAATACAACAAGTGAGGTATTTGATTCTTACTGCAACAACTGGAACATGAATAAGTGAGGAACACACTTGAGGCTCCTAAATGCAGAAAAAATAGTGTCCGCCTCTGATACCTTCTTTCAATATCTTTCTGGGTCTGTTGTGACACATATCTGGGACAGAGACTTGACACAAACTCTACGAGATCAAATAGCAAGATTGGTGTTTACCATTGGAAACTTGCTTCCTGTTCATAGACATGCCTTCTCCAAAGGGCCAACATGATCAAACATGTTTCTTTCATTCTCATGTAGTTGTTTCTGGTTATTTGTCACCGAACAGATTACAAACATATTTACATTCCAGTATATTCTGAACTACCATTGGAAACTTGCTTCCTGTTCATAGACATGCCTTCTCCAAAGGGCCAACATGATCAAACATGTTTCTTTCATTCTCATGTAGTTGTTTCTGGTTATTTGTCACCGAACAGATTACAAACATATTTACATTCCAGTATATTCTGAACTACTGTTTTTTATTAGTTAACAGTCATGGTATAACTCATAGTTTGAGAACAATACGAGTTCACTATGAATTCAGGACTTTTAGACTGCTTTGCATAATTTTTAGATCGACCAAGTGTCGGGATTCTATACACATCGCCCTAATAAGATTGTGCCTTCTCATACACAACAAAATGAAAAATATACAAGAAAAATTGTAGTCACTCATCTGTGTCTTGGCGCACATATTTGCATCAGAAATATGTCATAATTTTGTTGAAATCCCTCTTTTTAAAAGTATATGTCACTTTGCTTGGACTGTGCCTTGAGACCCTTCAATTTCTTTAATATGTTGGAGAAATAATCTTGTAAATACTTCTCTAAGGTGAGGATATCCTTTGCCTCCACCCCAAGAAGCTGGTATGTCTCATTCATTGGAGCTGAGAAAACGGTGTCGCTGGAGAGCACCTGGATATAAAAATGTAAATTTATTGTTAGCCTTCACAGGCTTTGATATATATCTATATCTATACCACTATATAGTGTATGAATAACTTTGAATATTGGCTGTTTGATGAAGCCAATCCGGTGGTAGAGAGTTGGCAAATCCGAGCATTGTTGGCCATTGGATATCCTCTTCACTACACTATATTCTGACACGGGTACTATCTAGATGATTCCATGGCTAAGGTTAAGCACAATGCACTATATACACAAAACTAAAAACACAGACGTCTCTCTTTTGTTCTAGAAACTTCCAGACTTTCTGCTGACTCTTTTCTTCTAGATGAATTGTCATTCCTTTTCTCAAAGCACATGCATTTAACATTTATTTTAGATTCTTCCATATTTTAGTTGTCTCAAGGTTTTTTTTTTGGCTCTAAAAGAATTGCCATTCATTTTTACTTTATTTTATCTTTTCTTCAAGACTCTCATAGTACTTCCATAAATTTCATTTGAGTGGGATGCACTACAAGTACTAAATCTACATCTTATACTTGATGCATACGTGACTAAATTTACATGTTTACCTGTTGTAATGTGATATGCCAATATTTGATCGTACTTTGGTTATCTATAAGCCCCGACGTGCAATACACTTGTACCTTACTAGTATATTACCGTTACTGAATTACATGTGCAGTGCACAAAAAGGCCTAGACAAACCTCTGAAAATGCCAGCCTATCAGCCACATCGTTTGTCCACTGGAAGAACCGTGTTAATTGACGGGTAAATCTCAAGACTGCAACAGGGACAGTAGTTACATTGGCATCTTGCCCAGCCAGTCTCTCACATAATGTAATAACCTGGAGAAGGCAAAATAAATAGAATTAAAATAATAATGTACCAACTCCCATAAGCCATCATTTGGTACATTCTCAAAAGAAAAAGAAAATGCATGAATGACTATATTTGTACATTCCCTATGAAATAGGTCGTTATACTAACTACTTATTAATGACAAGTCAATAATAAATTTGGTTCAGCAGACCCTACTGAACATTATATATACTTCATTCACTAGAAAAAGCAATAGAGTTAATTACCTCCTGAGTTGTCCAAGCACGTGGTCCAGCAAATGTTAGGAGTTTTTTGCTGGCCTTCTCATTGCGCAAAGCAACAAATGTCAGGCGAGCGACGTCCTATAGTTGCACAGAGAAGGCACGTCAACAGAAAGCTACTTTGGAGAGAAACTGGTACATAGATATACACAGTTTCATTTTTCCAATGGAAAGGGAGAGAAGATAACCTGGGTATCCATGTATGCAATCCGAGTCGGAGCATCAGTTCCCCAAACTGACTTCTCTTCTAGTATAGGCACCGCATATTGCCCAATTAGGCCCTAAAACCAAAAAATAGATGGAAATTCATTTCTAGAAACAACCGGCAAACATGACTATGAAAAGATGTATGACATGAGCTTTCAACTATATGTCACCTCAGTGCTTTTAATTTTTACTACTTGTTTATGTCTATCATGAACTATGAGCAATACACAGGTAGTTTAGCCAGGAACTTGTTTAGCGCCTTTTGCAATCTAGCATCAGCATGAGTAGCAAAAGGAATTTCCTGGCCGAAACAGAAACCCAGGATAAGGATCGCATCTACCTGCATGAAACCGCACAATCGGATGATGGTGTAATCCAGACCTGTGTCCTGAATAAACCTCTCTGTACAATACTTGATCTCCATCAAGGGGACCTCAGGATGCTTGTCGCAGTTGTGAATGGAGTAGAAGACATACTTCTGAATCCCCATGGCCTTAGCGCACTGGATTAGAGCAACCTTTCCTTCCCAGTCTACCTAAATGGAACAACCATCAGCGTCCGAAACACAGAAGTCGTTTAATAATGACTCAAAGAAACACAAGACACAATACAATTCTCCACTGTATTTTGAGAGATTACATGCTGATGGCATTTACCGTTCGAATGGGCTCTTCCGGCCGCCCCGTGGCGCAATCAATGACCGTATGAACGCCAACAAGCGTAGCGGGTATCGTCTCTGGCTTGCTGAGGTCGGCCTAATTGAATCAGTCACACACACAGACGATCATGAGACAGAATCCGCAATGTGGTGCCCCTAAATTACCTATAGCGGGAAGAAGTGAAGAGTACGGTCGGTTGCGCAGTGCAAACCTACATTGACCACGGTGGCGCCCCAGTCCCGGAGGAAGTCGGCGGGCGCCGGGCGGGGCCTGACGAGGCACCTGACGTCGTAGCCCTCGTCCAGCGCCCTCCTGACCACCTGCCGTCCCAGGGTCCCCGTGGCGCCGACCACCAGCACGCTTGTCGGCCTGACGGGCGTCCCCTGCCCAATGCTCATGGGGGCCGCCGCCTGCGCGTTGCAGGTCACGACCAGCCTGCAGCGGGGCCCGACCGATGAGACGGCACGGGCTGGGTGCGGTCGCGGTCGCGCGCGGGAGGTTGTGCAGGAGAGGGCGGCGCGGCGGCCCGGGGAGGTGACCCGCGACGGCAGCGCGGCGGCGAGGCTGGTCGACGTCGCCATTTTCTGCGCGTTGGTTTTGGCGTGGCGTGGCGGAGGTGCCCGTGGTTTTGGGTTTGGGCTGGGAAGGGAACGGAGGAGTGGTGGAGAGTGGATGCGGAGCAGCCGATGCCCGTCGCGCCACGTCGTCGCGGCCATCCCGTCATCCGTCTCTGCCCCGTCACGTTCCGTTTCTTGCCCGCCACTTGTTGCCCAAATTCATTGCATGTGCGAGCCATTTTTTCCCGGTTGCTGCTGATTCCGAAGTGGTCGAGCTCCTAGCGTGTAGACAAACCATTTTCCTAACTCAAGAACTCAATGTCCAGAAGGTGATCATAGAAACTGACTCGCAGGCGGCGGCTACAAAAATTGTGTCTCTTCCAAAAGATCTCTCAGCTAATGGGCAACTAGTTGAAGAGATCAAAGGGCTGCTTCGGTCTTTTGATGATTTTAAAGTTGCTTGGGTGCGACAGTCAGCGAATAAGGTCACACATATCTTATCTAGAAATGGTTGCTGTATTGCCTTATGTAAAGGAAAAATTTTGTTTTTGCCACTCTAGATTTTGTCAATTTTTCTTATGCCACTCTAGATTTTGACATTTCAGTATTGCCACTCTTAGCTTTTGAAAAATATCACAATTGCCATTATGTGGCAATAGCAAATTAATTTTATTTCACTTTTGCCATCCTAGCTTTTGACAATGTATCACAATTGTCACTCTAATTTATGTAAAACTTGGCTCCATGTCCTCCCGAGTGTATTTGCTCAGAGGTAACAGTTGAGGGAGCTGTGAACTATGAATAAATTAGCAACATTTCCTTAAAAAAAACTTGTTGCCCAAATTCCGCAAGGAATTTTTTTTGA